GAAGGAAGGAAGGAAGGAAGGAAGGAAGGAAGGAAGGAAGGAAGGAAGGAAGGAAGGAAGGAAGGAAAGAGGTGCAGAAAACAGCATGCTGTGAAGTAATTACTGTCCCAGAGAAAGCACAAGTTTGTGATTGGGTATGCGGACGCTAGTGACCATATCCAGACTCCCTTGCCAATGTGTGTATTCTCAACTAATACTTGATATTACACAAAAGCCTACTGAACCAACTAAACTTTGAGCCACTTACAAAATGAAGTATCTTTCTACAATTATGTAAACTAAACTTAATATGCATGTTTATCAACAAAAATAATATTTATAATAAGCCACGCATAAGAGAAGAACAAAGGAAGGGCTTCCCTTCACCTTCTGAAGATTCACTGCAATGAACCACTAACATGTGCGTAAAATGGGAACAGACACACACAGGAGGAACTCAGAGGAAGTCATGTGGTTTAGCAATGAAGATTCCTGTGTCCCATGGGGAAGAGAGAAAATGGAAAATGCAAAGTCCTTAGGCTCATAGAACAAAGGATGGAAAATGAGTCTTTCCTACAGGAGAACTTTCCCCCTGAATATTGACCAGGAATGAAATTTAAAAAAAAATTTTAAAGGTGGTGTTTAGCAAAAGCCTGCCTGGGTGCATCACAGACATCAGCTTTTCTTTTTCTTCCTACCACATGAGCTTAGTTAAGTGAAAACTCAGCAGAGACCAGAGCTGCATCCCAAGCCCAGCAGCCTCATACAGGACAAGGCCCCTTCCCAGGACACCCTGGCCCAGAATCTTAAGGTGAACTCACTTTAGGAAAGTTAATATAAGACTGAAACTGGAACATGACAGCGAGAAGCATTTCTTCTTTGGAGCTATCCAAAAGCCTCTTCTAGCACCTGCCAATTTCTAAGTAATCCTTTAATTTAAAAAGAATGAAAGCACTGTCCCCATTTTTTTTTCTTTGTGTGACAGTCCCTGGGTATGAGAGACAAGTCTCCAAGTATCAGGAAGAAAGTAAAGAATTTTAAATAACAATCAACCCCCTGCCCCCCCAACACACACACACACACACACACACACACACAATTAAAATATATCCACGTCTAGTTCTACAGTGACTTTTTTTTTTTTTAACTCTCATGTGAACTTTCCATTTTATCCAGAGTCCTATTCCACGTAAATAGATTCAAGTTGAGTTCCTGGGAAGTTTTCCAGCGAGTTAGATTGCTTTTAAATTGGACATGCATTAAATGAAGCTTTGTCTAACCAAAGAGAGCGAGTAACTGATATGGCATCTGTATGTTCAGTTCTGCACAAGGTTCCTTTATCTGGGAAGCATTAGCCAGAGACAAACAGAACATCAGATTACAGTTCTGGAGAATCCTATGCGCCCCTTCTGGCACGGCTGCCAGCTCATACAAACATTATATGTGCATCAGCCACCTGCTTCCAGAAGAATTTGTAATCTACCTGCTCTCATTTCACTCCCCAAAGGCACTCCCCCTTGACACGTGTGCCCCCTTTCATTCATTCCACTGCAGTCACCTTTTGATCCCTAAGAGGTTCACTGGCAGGAAACGTGCAAAGTGGTGTGTTTTAAGGCCAAGAGCAAAACCAGAAGAAGCCTTCTGCATTATAATGTATACTGAAACCAAACCCCGGACTCTTAGAGCTCTCTGAACTTGAACTAAAAGCCATGGCAGGAAGGGCTTCATTCCTGGGTGCCAGGCTCCTTTCACATTACCTGCTTCAGTGTACTTCAGTCCCACTTTTTCTTCTGCGTCCTTTGTCTTTGGGGGTGGCCAGACAGCCTGGAGTCTGCCTGGAGTCCTGTCATCCTGCTCCGTGGGGCTCTGGTCAGGCTGTGCAAAAAACAGGCAAAGAATAAGTTAAGGGAAGTGTGTCCAGCGCCAACTGATTCTTGAAATCACGCATCCTAACACTAATCCTAATATCGATTTTAATGGCCAGTTGCACGTTTGCTCCTATTACTTGTTAAGTGAGCCGTCTTAGTACAAGATGAGCCTTTTTCCAGAAGGGTAAAGGAGCAGTTGGGATAAAAGCTAAAGTTAAAAAAAAACAAAAACAAACAAACAAAAAAAACCTCAAAGCTACGTAACATGCAACCCTTTATGTATTATCTTCATTGTCCAGCTGTTTTGAAGGGCACATGTAAACTTTGAACTGCACAAGCAAAAACAAATGTATTATCATCTGGCACATTCATCGGGATACTTAGAAATATACTCCAACTCTGCACTCCTTACAAGAAGGGCTAAGTTTGTGTTTTCCATGCGCATTAGCAATAACTGAAGATATACTTTCCCTAAGCTTTCCACACTAACTTTAATTCTTTCCTATTACAAAAATAAAAGAGACCGACTCCATGCTCATTTTTTAAAAAAGAAGTTGAATTTTGCAACTAGAATGAATGGTGGTTACATTTAACTACAACCTATGATAATTTTTTCTATAGACTTTAATTTTTAATAACTTAATTAAATATACAGGCAGACATGATAATCCTGGTATGTGACAAGAAATTCTATCCACTGTTCCCCCTGAACGTTCAATGCTAGACACTCCTTGGTCATTATAAATTAACTTTGAATCTCTTTGAATAATTACATCTTTTATTAGCTAGATTCTCTTGTGCTCTTGTGCTGATTTCATATATTCTTTCCATAAGGGTTAGAGCTAGATCCCTCTGTTTTGTATATGGGGAGACAAGCTCAGAAACTATCAAGGCCACCCTGACATAAACGGCAAATTCAGTATTAAAAACCCCTTCTCATTCTATATTCAATACTCAACCATGAAGCCATATAAACAACACAGAACACATTTCAGTTACACCATAAACACATGTTTTGCTAAATGGCGTACTTCTAAAGGAGAACCTATTATTCACAGGAATCTAACAGAGTGGTGAAAAAATCCTTATAAATCTGGGCTGTGCTTGCACATCACATCGCCTTCCCCATGTAGCTAATGCTTTATGAGCACTTTGACCACGGATGCTTAAACGCAGGATGCACAGTGTCCGTTCCTTCCATACATCCATAACACAGATCACGGTTAATTACACTCACGAAAAACAAAGAGAAACACTTCTGTCCAAGTTAGTACTCTCTTGCAAGACAGATTTAATAGCATTATTATCTTTTTTTTTTTTAACCTAAGAGTATAATAATAATGACAGGCAACTAAGATTCATTTTAACAGATGACCAAGAAAGAAAAAAAAATTAGCATTTTATGGCAAAATGCAGAACCCAATTCTACATACACTTTTGGGATCAGAGGGGCTGTCTGCCGGCCTTGACTTGGACCTTTCGAACACAGCACGGAGTGACTCCTTCTCATGCCTCATCTTTCGCTTCAGGGCTTCCAGTTCAGAGGTGTCGGCTGTGGTCCCCTTTTTGGGGGGACGGATGAATAAGGCCTTAAAGGCCTCTAGGGCCGTCTCTGGTGGCTTTGCCTTTACCTGGCCACCCTGGACTTGGGCATCTCCAGAACTCTTGTGGCTCTCCTGGTCGGGACTACAGCCCATCTCGCTTGCCCCATGGAACTCGGGGTCTGCTTCCTTCAGTTCTGTTCTTGGCATGTCAATGTTGAGCAGCTGAGATAGCTGCTCCAGAAGAGTGGGAGTGGCCTTCAGATCAGTTGCTCTACCCTGGCTCTTCGCTGTCTGCGGGCCTCCCTGCACCAGAGACTTCTGAACAGGCTGGGTCAACTTGAGCAAAGCCAGGTCCCCATCCTTGGGTTTGATTTCAGTGATGGTCTCCCCTGCCTCTGCGGTAGCCCCCTTCTTCAGCACACGGAGCCCACTAAAGAAAGCTGGAAGCTGGAAGACTTTTTCTCCGGGAGCTTCTTTTTTAGAAACAGTGTTCTCAATGACACCATCAGTCTGATCTGTTGGGGTGGGTGGGATTTGGGACCTTTCTTCTACAGCCTGGTCCTGCCGGGGGCTGTCCTCTGCCAGATGGCTACTCTCACCAGCAGGTTCCAGTTTGCTGCTTGTCTCAGGTAAAGTCCTCTGAGACTCTTCAGCACAGAGTTCTGCATCATCAGTTTCCTCAGTGTCGATATTTTCTCTCGATTCGCCTGGTTTTTCTTTGGGCTCTTGAGAAGGTTCACAAGAAACGACAGGGGTGGACTCCTGGGTATCAAGGCCGCTTCCTTCTTCTGCCTCCTGGCCTCCATCTTCAGAATCAGAATCACTGGTGGTGTGAACCAGGGTTCCACGGACCCAAATTACTTCCTCACTGTCCGCACTCACAGTGGCAGGCGAAAGCAGCTCATGACCAGGGGAAGAGGTGTTTGAGCTGGCTTTCCCCAGACTTCCTTCCGATCCTGTCTCCGCCCTTGCTGCCTTCCCATCATTTTTAAGATCAGGTGGAACTGGAGCCTCTGCCTGTGGCTGATGTGAGCCTTCGCTGGGATCACCTTGCTCAGAAGCGGGATCCACCTGTAAACTTCGAAATGCCTTCAGCACAGCATCTTCCTCTTCAGGATCCAAGGAGTCCAATTTACTTGTAAATCCAAACAGGGATTTCATAGAGAATTTACTCAGGATCGACTGAGCCATCTCAAGTCCGGCTTCGGGTTTGTCTGGTTCCAGCACATCTCTGCTGTTGAGAGAGTTACCAACCTCCTCCATGTCCCCGAAGTGCCCTTGACAGAAGTTCTGCCTTGTTAGTTACCTGCCCTGCTCTCTCAGTTTATCCGCTCCATCTGCTCTTGACTTACAGGACAGGGAGTGACAGGACCGGGGAGGGAGCCAGGCTTTCAGCAGCTCAGAGAACACACTTGGTCTCTTTCAGGTCACAGCGCTCTCTCTCCCTCTCTCCCTTCCGGTTTGCTCGATGCCGGCGTGCCCAGGGCAACTTGTTAAGTCTGGGCAGCTCTGTGCCCCAAAGCAGCTGGGGCTGCACACCTTTACTACAATGGGCAGGCAGGCTGCTCTTCTGGACTTCCGTATTTACTCCCTGGGACAAAAGGCTTCTTGTGGCAGGCAAAGTCAGCCTGTCCCGTAATCCCAGCCCAGGACTTCAGGAGGAGCTCCGCCCCAGAGCCTGGTGGCATTCAACTTCCTCATTGGTGAGCAAGTTGAGGTTCCTAAAAGTGCTGAGCCGGCAAGCTGGTCCTGACAGCCCTGAACCGCCCCCCCACCCCCACCCCGGTGCAGCCCAAGAGATTCCAAAGTGAATCAGCAAAAAATGACCGAAGAACTTCTGAAATTAGGTCCCCTTTCCATCCGGGTCCTAATCAGAGGCCAGACCCCAAACCAAGCAATTTACCCACATCTACAGCCTCTTACAAACCCCTAATCAAAGACAGGAAGTAAAGAAAAACAGATCCTCTCAGTGTGCGCACAGCTCTCAGAGCAGTTAATTTACTACCCTTGGAATGTCTTTTGTTTTTAAAGGCTTTCCTTCAGCTAGCCGGCAGGTTTCACCTGGAATGCAGATTTTCTCTGACTGCTGGGAAGGAAAACCAACCGGACTGGTTCAGATTACTACTGTTTTAGCTCTGCCCTGCCTGGGTGTTCTACAAACAGGTACTTAGACAAGCACGCCCACCACACCCAGCCTCCACCTACCTACCATAGGGCAGCAGAGTAAACAGCCCCAGCCCCGTGGGGGTGATTACTGTCTAGAGTTGTGGACCAACCTTGGGTTTCTGTCTGTCCGCAGCAGTCTCTCTCAGTGAATTACGAATCCTGGTGGCAGAAGGGACTCCTCTGCTTTGGTGTTGGGACCAATTAAATGGACCTGGCATGGCAGGACAGCAGCACACAGCCTGACTTCTTGGAGAGTCATTCACCAAAGATCCCCCCCAGGATCTATAGTTCTCTAAAGGTCTAAAATATGTATCAGTTTGGTCTCCACTGCCCATTTTGCGCAAAATAGCAAAAACAAAGAAACCCAGCACGGATTAGATAAAACATCATCCTGAATATATGCTGCAGACCTGGAATTCTGAAATCTGAGGCTATGGGGTAGGGGAATCACAGATGCCAAGTTACCTCTGGGATAGCTTCCTGTCAAACCCAAAGGTCTGGGGAATTCTTGTTGCAATAATGCATTTTTAACAATGTTTGGCTGAAAAAGAAAGAAAGAAAGAAAGAAAGAAAGAAAGAAAGAAAGAAAGAAAGGAGAGAAAAAAGAAAGAAAGATGCAAATATAGGGGTGTACGTTGCATCAAACCTTATAGGTAATTACAAACCCTAATTGGTTCCAACACTGACATTTTGGGAATACTAACTGATGTCACCTTAAATGGCATGGTGTTAGGAACGTAGCTGAGGCAGGATGTGTGCCTACTGTGCACAAGCTTTTGGGCTCTGTCTCCAGCACAGCAAAACAACAAAATTAAACAAAACAAAGTAAACATCAGGGAAGAAGAAGAGGTGGGGAGAGGAGAAAGATATGCTGGTACCATTTACATCTCTGATAAGGCTTCCGGTCTAGAGGAAATGCCCAGTGATAAAAATCTGTCTTTTCTGAGAATGTGGAAAGAAGGGATCATCACTCCAGTTTCAAGAGCTGCACACACAGAACTCAGAACGGAGGCAGGGCAGGGGAGCACGGGGACAACACAGCTTGGCTTACTTGGTGTTTTCTTTTTCTCTAAGGATGTTATTTGCTCTGCTATAACTTCAGACTGGTTCCCAGAGTGAGTTTTCAGGCACTTCAACAGGCCTGGGTAAAAATATAAGCTGGAAGGGCTTGTCAGTCTCTCTAGAAGTGTACAGAGTCTATTCATGGTTCAGATTATTGGGTTGACACCCCTCTGCTCTAGACAGTAAAGCTTTGCTAGACTTATTCACTAGACTCATTTACTAGACTTATTTCTAA